GATTTTTTGATTTATTGTAGAGATGAGGTCTCGCTGCCCAGGCGGGTCTCGAATCTGCAGCCTCAGGCAATCCACTCACCTCAGCCTCCCAAAGGCGCAGGATTACAGGCTAAGCCACCGAACCCGGCTGTTTTTTATTTATTGTAGAGACGAGGTCTTGCCAAGTTGCCCAGGTTGGTCTCAAATCTGCAGGCTCAGGCAATCCACTCACCTCAGCCTTCCAAAGTGTTAGGATTACAGGCTGAGCCGCTGAGCCTGGCCTAACAAATATTTATTGAGCACCTACTGTGTGTAAGGCATTGGTGGGGCTCTAGGGAATAAAGATGAATAAATCACAGTCCCTACACTCACGAAGCTGACAATAGGAGAGTCAGATGAGTAAACAGATGGTAACATTAGGGGATAGGGATATTGCCAGGATGAGAACAGGCAGCTATGGAGCTGAGAGGAATTCCATAACCAGGGAGAGAGGGACCAGGTAGAATCCCTGGGAAATTTCTTGAGACCACACGTTCATTCAACAAATATAGAAAGTGCCTACTGGGTGTCAGGCATCAAGCACTGGAGAGACCACGGTTCACAAGACAGACTTAGCCCCTGTGCTCGTGGAACTTTATAATTTAGTGAGGGAGGCAGATGATAAACATAAATTGTGGTGAATACAGTGATGGAAGCACACACAGTATTGTGATCAAGAATAACACAGGGGGTGCTGAGTACGGTAGCTCATGTCTGGAATCCCAGCGCTTTAGGAGGATCAAGTGGGAGGAACACTTGAGGCCTGGAGTTACAGACTAGCCTGAGTAACACAACAAGACCCTGTCTCTACAAGAAAAAAAATAGCTGAATGAGCTGGGCTCAGTGGCTCAGCCTGTAATCCCGCGCCTGGGGAGGCTGAGGTGAGTGAATTGCCTGAGCCCGCGGGTTCGAGACCCGCCTGGGCAACTTGGCGAGCCCTCAGCTCTACAATAAATCAAAAATTAGCTGGGTGTGGTAGCGTGTGCCTGTAGTTCCAGCTACTTGGAAGGCTGAGGCGGAAGGATCGCCGGAGCCCAGCAGGTCGAGGCTGCAGTGGCCAGGAGCGACCACTACACTCTAGTCTGGGCGACAGAATGAGACTCCAACTCAAAAAAAAAAAAAAAATAGCCGAATGTACTGGTGTGCACCTATACTCCCAGCTACTCGGGAGGCTGAGGCAGGAAGACTGATTAAGCCCGGGAGTTCGAGGTTGTGAGCTATGATCATGCCACTGCACTCCAGCCTGGGCGACCCTGTCCCTAAAAAAATAACAAAAGACAGCGGGGATATGTATGTGGAATGGGGAAAGGTGAGGCAGAGCTTTGTAGTATTGAACCAGAATGAGAATGCAATTATGAACCTATTATATAATATTTATATACCCTATCTCTGTCTGCTAAAGGGCCTGGGAGTAGTCACTTCCAATAGTACTGTTTGTCCAGCATGCTGATCTTGGTTGCCCAATACCTTTCTCCATGAAAGGAGACAGAGTTCCTTGAAGAAATGGCTTCTGATTCCAGGATTGTGCTGAGAAAGTATAAGGTGTGCCTGGAACATGTTAGCATGATAGAAAGCAAGGAAGGAAGGGAGGGAGGGAGCGGGAGGAGGAAGGAAGGAAGGAGGGAGGGAGGGAAGGAAGGAAGGAAGGAGTGAATTCAATGGTGAATGATGAAATTCCTATATAAGCTCTATTTGTGATACCAAACTTGGTAAAACCATGAATGAGCCAGCTTAACTATAGCACATTTATGTTCCTAAAATAACTAGTGAAGGAAACTATAAGCCAGAGTGGTAGGAGGCCAAGGAAAGAGTGTTTCAGAATGAGAGTGGGAAACAATAGCAGAGGCTGCAGAGAAGCAAGATAGGAGGAAGTGTCTGCTGGGCTTAGTACAAGCGAGGCCTTTGGTGATGACTGTGTGGAGGCTACGTTCAGTGGAGCAGTGGG